CATTCTCATAGATTATGTTGAAAAATATCAGAAGACATGAAATTGCATGTCAGTTGTTATCATTAAAACAATTTTATGTTGATTTATTACTTAATAAAACTGATGATTACACTTCATCTCTAAATTACTTGATATGTTTCTAGATTTAAATTCCTGCAAAACTGCATATTTTAGAGGTTACAAAAGAAAACGAAAGCATAATAGATGGGGACTTTCTTCCTCTCTCTCTTTCGGAAAAATGGAGAAACATCTATAATCATCTCAGCAGCTATAGAACTTTTATTATACTTATAGATTCTTCGTCAGGAAGATGAACTTCTCTATAATCCCCTATAAAATAGTTAGACATAAGCAATTTATGTAAAATAGAGTGAAATAACCATATTTGACTCCAACATCCAAAACTACATAGGACTATTAGTATCGAGGATCAATGCATTTGAATATCATCACTCTTAGTATTCATAAATAAATTTGTTTGATTTAAACTTTACCTATCTTTAGTTGTGAATAATCTTTTTTATGCGACCCATCTTTTCACATCACCAAAAAGCACGATTGCGACCATTGCGAGCAATAGGTAGACTTGTCTTTTAAGATTTGGTTCTTCATCTATTGGCCTCTCTTTATACTTCTCCCTCCACTTCTAAGATTAAGGTTTCGTTTGGGACAGCTTTCTTACTGCTTCTTAAAGCAGCTTTTTAGTACAAAAATTAAAATTTTTATACTAGAAAGTTGCTTAAAGAAACAATAAGAAAGCCGTCCCAAATAAAGAGTAAGAGTTATATAAGAAAAGTTTTCACATAATTCCTACGTTTTAATATCCTTGTTTAAGATGAAATCTTAGACATCATTTAGTTTACTTTAAAGACCAACATGAACTGTTGACCATTATCACAGATCTAGCCCAACCTTTTGTACACAAATATTGACATTGAAGTTGATGTTAGTTATACTTTTTTTGCGATGCTAGGGAACCGTCTCCGCGCCGCTTGGGCTTTGCCCTAGCTTTCTTGGGCTGGGATCTTGGCTTCGGATTGCTGATCTCCAGGGAGTTTCTCTTTGTTTGCCTTCTTCTATTTGTTCCTTCGTTTTTTTCTTTCCAGTATGGTGGTTAGTCGTGTTTGTGATCCCGGTTTTTTGGATGGGTCCTTCAAATCGCGCTCTTTTGTGGAAGCTTTATCTGGTTCTTCGGTTTCAGTTGATTTTCCTGAGTTAAGAAAGGGTTTTTGTCGTGATTTACCCTCTTTATGGATATCGGAGGAAGAAATTTTAGCTCTGTCTGTTCCTTTTCAATTTGCTCTTGTTGGTTTCTTTCCTATGCGCCGTCCTTCACTAGATGCAATATGGAAAATTTTTTTTTCAGCTTGAAACTAAATGCTGAATTCTCTGTAACTGTTCTGGATCAATCTCATATTCTTATTAAGTTGTCTAATGATTTGGATTATAGTAGAGTGTTCTGCCATAGATCTTATATGGTTAATAACTGCTTTTTGAAACTTACTAAATGGTCGCCGGATCTTGATGTCGGGGTTGAGTCTCCGGTAATTCCTATTTGGGTTGCCTTTCCCAATCTGCGACCACACCTTTTTTCCCCTCGTATCCTCCATGCCTTGGCTTCGATGTTTGGCCGTCCATTAAAAGTTGATAATTCAACCTCTGTCGGGTCTAGACCTTCTGTGGCGAGGGTCCTGGTGGAGCTTGACATTACTAAGGAACTTCCTGATAAAATTTGGCTTGGTTCGGAGATTTCTGGGTATGTTCAACGGGTTCGTTTTGAGGAGGTGCCTGCTTATTGTGTTTTGTGTAAACGGCTTGGTCATTACCAGGGGGAATGTGGTAATTTTTCTGCCACTTTGAATGGTCCTCAATCTCGTGAGAATGCGGTTAAGCCTGTTGATAATGCGAATATTGGTGTTATTGTCAATTCTTTGGTCGTTGATGAGGCGCAGGTTGCGGAAATTCCTTGCGAAATTCCTGTTTCTGATCATGGAGATCGGCCGCTGCCTGTGAGCGGAATTTCTGAGATTATGGAGTCTTTGGTTACTTCTAACCCGTCCGTCATTATACCCCCTATGAATGTGGTTGGGTTGGTTTATGCTGCGAATGATGTGCCTGGTGGTCGCGTTGGTAACTTTTCTGTCTTATCCCCCGATGCAGCTCCTTTTGTACCTCCGGTTGTGACCGATGTTAGAGACCCTGTTTCTCCGGTGATGGTGCCGGAGGTGGTTTCTGGTGCGATGAATGTGGTGAATTCGGATGGCTCGCCAGTTTTGGGTGTTGTGAACTCTAATGGGGGTGTACAAGTTTTAAAGGATGCAGAGGGTGGTTCAGATGGTTTTATGCCTGTTGCGGTGGTGCTGGTTGAAATTGAGAAGGAGGCTTCGTCTCTGGGTAGAGAGGAAGTTATTTCGATTACCAACGATTTAGTTGTGGTCCCTGTAAGTGAGGTTGATCCCCAAGTGATGGCTAACTGTGTGGGTAATTCCTCTGGTTTGGATATTAGGAATCAGAGTAATTGGTTGGTTGATTCATCGGATGTTGAATCGGATTCGGAGACTCTTGAGTCCGACCATGATTTTGCTCTTGTGCGTATTGCAAATGTTGGCACTCGCGGAAAATTTTGGGGGAGAGGTCGACGCAGAAGATTATTTTTCATTTCGTTATTTTGTTTCTTCTTGCTATTTCTTCTCGGGTTTTGTCGGATTTACTGTTCGATTTGCTGCTACGTGAGGCAAAGAGCAATGATGTGGTCGGGGCTCGCGTCCCGATCGTTTTTGCTGGTGGCAATCGTAGGTGTGGATTTTCGGGATGGATCGTTGGGACGCTATCTTCGCCTTACTGGAGGGTCCGTGCGGGATGTCCTGGACGCTGGAAGCCTTGACTAATTCCTGAGCTCGCTTTTAGCTTCTAATTCTCTCTGTTGTTCAGTCTTTTATTCTGCTAGCTTTTCTTTTTATGCTGATGTAACTGTTGTTTTTGTTTTATTAATAGAATATCTTTTTATTAAAAAAAAATGATGTTAGTTGAACTCAACTAACTTATGATTATATTGAACGCATTGATATGATTAAATACAGAAACTCCTTATGCCATCATAATATTAGTTTTTTTTAATTAAATTTATCATATTCACCATTGAACTCTTCTTGTATAAGTTTAACAAAGATTTCATCATGCTAGTTGCGATCTTCTCTTGCAATATGATAAAGGACAGCCTGTATCTCCAAGTAATATTTCTCATATGAGACTAATCCTGACTCCTAAGTATCGTAAAAAGCCCAATATGAGTTAGCATATTAGTAGAAGGATATCCATTAATTTAAAATTGTATGATAATGAGTAATGGATGTTATTATGATATTATAAATTCAACTCCTATCATTCTTTCCTATATGAAGGTTCATTTGCTTGATTATAGAGTAATTGATAAATTTAGAAAATTGTGAATAGACCTTATTTTTAATAGGTAAAAATATTGGAATCTAATATGATGGTTGCAAAAATTTGGGCCTACTCGTATCCCATGTCAAAAATAAATAAAAATTGTATTAAAAATTAACATATTTTATGGAGTGAATGTTTCAACATACAAATCATAGATGAGTGTTATCTCATTTAGTTGATAAACCATTTAGAAATCATTCTTAAGATTCTGAATCAATTTCCTCCAACATTGACTCATATTTCTTCACTCAACTTATTATTATTATTATTATTTTGGGGCATAGCTCAATTCTATTAATAGAAAAAGAATATTACATAAGTTTAGCTATGGCTTATGGCCTGGTACTTCAACAAAGTACAAAATCTCTTCTAAAGCGTGAAACCAAAGTAATCAATATGATTCAATAAAAATAAAAAATGCACTAAAATGTGAAAACAAAGCATCAAAATTCTTCAAAATAACATTGAAAAAGAGTAGAAGGTAGATCTCCTCTATGTTATGGCAGGGTAGTTATCTTTTAAGCCCCTATCATGAAGTCACGAGTAAAAGAGAACTTTTAGTGTGTTTGACCATTATACTCTGACACTCAAGATCCAAAAAACACAGAGGATTGAGCTCAAAACATGTAGTATCTTTAAGAAAAGTTAATGCAAAAATGTAGTGCGGTATGGTCGCGTACACAATTGAAATGAGTTAGATTTATTCCTCACAACCCTCCAACAAAAGAAGAGGCAAAATGTTGACCTCTGTATAAGAAATCAAAAGAGAACGAGAGAGAGATCGGGAATACCACGTATCCCGCCGAAAGCTCCCGCAAATACCGCAAGAAATCCCGTCGATTCGGCGCTGTTTGAGTCGCATCCCGCGATTTGAGCGCAGAACCGGCCTCGATCGTTGCTCTTCGACGCCTTTAAAAGCCAACCGAATGCAAGCTATCGGGATCTTAGGCAGTACAGCTCCTCCATGAATAAAAAAGCCTACTAACTTTCAAAGGCCAATCATCACATCTCTTTCATTTCCTGCTTTTGTAACCCATCTGAGTTTTTATTAATATAAAAGGATATATCAGTATAGTACCCTCTACTACACAACCTCTAATTTCTTTTCAGCTAACTATTATAAACTAGAGGCGAGGAATGCTTGTCCTAACTAGATCATCACGTTGGGGCCATTCAACATAAAAAAAAAAGAAAAAAAAAAAAACTTTCGTACACGTACCTGAAGCATATTTACAAAAGCCTAGTTGTCAAATACATACTGAAATTATGTAGGGGCAAAACATAGCAGGCTTTCATTCACTGCACATTAAAAATTTCTTTGAAAAGTGCTCAAACTGTAGTTGATTGGACAGTTCAACATATTTCGTCATACTTTGCAGATCAACTTATGTTTTCTCTCGATCAGGACCTTTCTTTTTCAATTGCTCGATCACTATTTCATGAGATTTCATTGAGGAATATGTGATCCTACTTTCTTATTTGGAATCTACTTTTAGTTGCACCACTATGAGGCAGTTTCTGCGTCTCTATCTGAGCTGAAAGTTTCTTTTTAGGTTATTGAAGTGGAGGTAGATGGCATGAAGCAAAGAAGTGGTGTGCATATAAAGAAGTGCAGGTAAAAGTTTTAATTTACACTTTCTTTTCAAGTAAGAAGCGAATAGAGTAATGTTCAAATAAATTCACATAAAAAGTGAAACTGGAATTCATTTTATTTATTTAAATGGACTAATCAAAATGGCAAGAAGATTAATATTAATTGATTCATCTAAATAAAATAGAGGCCAAATAATTTTTTATGAAGGTTCATTTAGAGAGTGCAGTTTATTCTTAACATTAATATTTCAATATATTGCACTTTTGTAGATATTTAGAGAACAGTGGATGTGTGGGAATGTGTGTGAACATGTGCAAGATTCCAACACAAGATTTCTTTACAAATGAATTTGGGCTTCCACTGACAATGAATCCAAGTATGTAGAGCAGTGTGTATATTTTTCTCGGTCGACTAGTTTTTTTTTTAAAGGCTAGATGAGCACTAGAACTAAACCCATCACAGGATTATTAAGGCTTCGTTTGGGACAACTTTTTGTTGATTTCTAAAATAGATTTGTAGTACAACAATTTCTTGAATTAGAAAATTTTATACTAGAAATCCGTTTTAGGAAGCAGTATGAAAGTTGTCCCAGCCTAAATCTTTTTCCAACCATTACGTTACGCATTTGAGCACTCTGTTGACAAGTTTATTTAGAAATAAATTTTTCTTCCTTTGTAGTTAAAAGTGTATTATATCCAATAATCAATGTTTTAAAGAGAAATATTAAGTCTTGTATATTTTGTATAAATATTTTTAAGTAGAATTTAGGGTTCCATTAGTAACCATTAAAATTTTACCTGATATGAAGATATCTTCTTGTAAAATATTTAAAATGATTTAACTATAAAAGCATCAATGGAGATGCGCAAAGGGCAAAACAAGGTTCACAATGCTTATTTTGGCCTGAAAAACATGTTAGAACTTTTTGAAATTTCAACATCAAAGTGAAAGTTTTAGGTAATAGATTATTATTAGTTACTGAATTTCTAATTCAATTGATATGATCAAGATGCTATATATGTTTTTTATTTAAAAATTATGCTATGTTGAAACCATGTGAGACATGTTTTTCTTTCCCTTTTTTTATTTCTTTTCACAAAAAGAGTGGTCGATGATTCATTCAGATTTCTGTTTTTCTAAATTATTATGCTTACCTTTTTCATCCTGTACAGTTGTGGTTTGGTTGCACAGTTGAGTCTCTTACAATCATATATATAAAGTCTCTATCTAGGCCTTTATTTAAGGGAACTTTATACATTGAATTTGGCCTTCTAATTTCTTAGCTTTGGATCAGAGGCCTCAATCGAGTCTTCAGGGTTCCTGTGCTTGCCAAACAACAGTTTTCTTAAGCTCGCCCATATGAGAATTATAGGTGGTCACCTTGAAAAGGTAGAGAGCAAATAGCTTAAATAGAAAATTTGATTGAATTATAATTTCATTTAACATGTCATTTGCCGACATGTCATTTCGATTAAGAGAACTGAAAAGAAGTATTTCTTATTACTTCTTAAAACTGCTTTTTAGTAAAAAAAAAATATTTTTGTTCTACAAAGCTGTTTTATGAAGCAGTGCGAAAGTCGTCACAAACAATACCCTATTCATAAATCATGCAAAATAAATTGCTAAATGAGGTTATGTGTACTCTAAGCTCATCATAAAGCTACTATACCATTTTGAAGCTAAAATCTGGTTCCATTTGTTTTAAGGGTAACATTTATCCAATTTTTTTGTAAGTTAGATTAAGGATCATTTGATTCGTTAAATGTGATGAACAAAGCTATTTTTTGATCAATTTTTTGAAAAATTATATGGTGTGAACAATATACAGGCCTCTACGTGTAGGTACCAAGAGTATGAAAAATTATTCTATGTGGACATTGGACGGCATCCGAAGACCAATCAGAACGTGCCACGTTATTTTTTTTGTCCACGCCTAAACTTAGAGCGAATTTGACTCTTTTTTATTTGAGCTACTACCATATATATCTTCTTTGATTGCACAAACATGTAGATATCTCTAAGGGACCTGGGAGGGACTCTCAATTGATTTTTTTTTTTTTTTTACTGCACTGAAACAGGACAATTGCTAATCAAAGTTAGGTTTCATTTGTGATAGCTTTCTTACAGCTTCTTAAAGTAGCTTTCTAGTAAAAAATTAAAATTTTTTTACTAAAAAATTACTTTAAGAAGCAATAAAAAAGCCGTCCCAAATGAAACCTTAATCTTACGATTATATCGAAAATGTACTATCACGTACTTTTAGTTGTAAATGATAAAATGTTGTTATCCTTTCAGATTTTGAAGATATGAGTTGTGATATGCTGTATGGTCAAACACCTCCGCCATTTGAGGAAGATCCTGTGTCAAAGCAGCCTTGTTTTGCCAGCATCTGTATGCCAAATTACAAATACTTATTAGGTGCTCTATACTGAATATTTGATTTGTCATAGCTTTCTAACCCTTCCAAAGTGAATTTTCTATTTTTCTGCAGGTTCTTTGGCTAATCCCAGCACCCCAGTTTGCCATAAATTATACAATTGAAGTACATTGAGCTCTTAAAACACCCAAGATATGGTGAAGGGAAAAGCAAAAGAAAAAATCATCATTGAATTACATTTCATAATTAGTTTAATTTGAGAAGACCCAGAATTAGCTCACCCTGAGTTCAGATCGGCTCAAATAATCCGATTATTTGTGCTGAGCTAAATCTGGGTTTATAGGCTAGCTCGATCCGAGTCAAATGCCAGTTTGATTTTGATCAATTTTCACTTCTCTAATACATAATCTTGATGCAACATTGGTCCATGTAAATGTATATTCTTTATGTATTTATGAAGAGAATTTGTGTACTGTTCACACGCTGATGCTGTGTTATTAATGCCAGGTTTTATAGAAATACTATTTGTAGGACAAAATTAGATGAAGATGGGAGAATAAATAGATAAAAATATCACCTATAAATTTATTTGAATAGATGATATCCACTTATATCTATAATTAGGAGGGTAGGTCATGTTTTCTGATAATTTAAATGGCCTCCATAAATTTTTAACACCTTTCATCTCGTCGAGACGGATTAATTATTCTGTGTGGATGTTGAATGCCGTCCGGAAATTAACTAGAATGCACTACATTACCTCTTGCTCGGTACCATGGCTCGGTATTGCTCACTACCGCGGCTTGATATGCTGATGTGATGTATTCTGATTGGTTTCTGGACGACGTTCTGCATTTGATCTCTGCAGAGAATAATTCTCCATACGGGCTTCTCTCATATCCCAAAGTAAACAGTGTGTTATATCAGCTATAATTTAAAGATATTGCTTAGTAGGACATTATTTGCATGATAGCTTACTTTCTGAACAGTTCATACTTTATAGATAGGAGACAATTAGACAATTGGGATAAGAGCAGAGTCACTTAAATGAGCAAAAAATATGAATAATCATTTAATTTTTATATGAAATATTTTAAAATTTTTAATTTTTAATTTTAAAATTCATCATAATTAAGCTTTTCTCATATTAGAGATAAATTGGATCAAGCTATTACTGCGAGAACTAAGGCCTTCTCCTGCCGTTCGGCAAACAGGCGAATGGAGAGCCTCAGACGTGCCAACCGAACTCCATTTTTGCCGGCATTCAGTCGCTTATGAACAGTGTTGGCGTCGCACTGTTCACTTTCGCCATACCGAACTCCATCTGAGAAAGGCGCGAAAGAAACGACGATGATTTTGGGGTAAAATGACGTTCCACTGGAGATGAATCACGACACTTTTTGATTTTACTGTATTTTGCAGTAAAAAATGAGAGTTTCTGTTGGAGATGCCCTAACAGTTAGCTATATTTCGTTCGAAGCTTTAGAAGAACATTCAAATTTAAACTCAATGCCATTCAAAAGAATTGCACATGGCATGCAGGCTAATGGATTTTTAATTTCATGAAATAAAAGAAATTTCGTAACTTTTTTTTATATAGAGAATTCAATCCGAGCATTAAACAACAACAACTCCTTGATCTAATCGCGATAGATAATGAACACAGCAAACACAGCCGACTCTTCCGGCGATCTCATTAGCCGGCGGCGCACCACAGATTTCTCCTCCACCTTAAACCCCTCCGCCTTCAGCGCCTCCAAACAGTCCACCGTCGCATCCCTCACCTCGCTCGCAGCCCATCCCTTTGTCCTGTCTCCCCACACCGCCCTCATGGCCCGGCCGAGCCCGCCCATCTCCTCCGGGTCATAGAACAAATCCGACATCAGCACCACATCCACCTCCCCAACCTCGTTTCCAAACTCCTCCACGTTATCCGACTCCCACCGCAGCTCCCGCACCTCCACCTTTTCTCCGACTCCATTGGCCTCCACGTTCCTTCGTAGCCCTTCGAGCAGCGGGGGCGTGTCGGTGAGAACGACGCGGCATGAGCCGAGGACGGCGGCCGCCAGGCCGGGGAGTCCGAGCCCGGCGCCGAGCTCGAGGACGGTGGCGCCGGAGAGATCAGCGGCGGCCATCCACTCGGCGAGGTGGAGGGCGGAGTCCCAGAGCCAGGACCCGGTCAGGGCCCGCCCGGTGGTGCGGTCGTAGGTGTCGGCGCTTTCGTGGATTGTTATATTGTGCCCAGCAATTTCTATAGATCGAGTACTCATCAACGCTTTTGTTGGTCCTCTGCTTTTTTCTGCAGTTAGATCGATCGGAGCCTTCGCCTTCTTCTGGAAGTGCTCGTGATTTAATTCGTTCTTACATTAATTCAAGAACGGAATCTTTTAACGAATACAACAGTGGCGTTCTCTGGCATCTTGCTTGCCATTAGAGGCTGGAATCTTCAATGTTGTGGTGGGGATCCGATTTGGTGCTATAAGAATTTGTTCTTTTAATGGAATAAGTAAAGGGGCGAATTATTGCATCCGGTCACCACCGGATGTCCCGACATCCAATCCGGTGACGCCACATCACCTAAATATATTGGGTCTTGGTGTATTTGGGTGACGTGGCGACACCGGATTGGTGTCCGGATGAATCCGGACACTAGACGCAATAATTTGCCAAGTAAAGGATAGGAAAAAGTTATGGAATTTGTTTTTTTAATGGAATACTCAGCTCGTTCTGATCTATTGATAGAGAGTTTTGACTATCAACTAAGGGCTCTTGGGGGAATGGTACCATGTTGCGATGGCCTTGCTCTTTTGTAACGACAAGCTCAATGCTAAACTCAATAATTGGTGATTCTTAAGTGACAACTCCTACTTGAAAAGCTTGAAACTATAGAGGATTAAGGATGATTTGGCGAAAAATCCTTTAGCTCCTCTTTCGCCTCGCCATGGTGATTTACGATGTTGGGGCTTTAGGTTTTAGATGATATTCCATAATTCTATAGTTGGTAATGAGGCTTTAAATTGGATGCATATTGTAGAAGAAACCCTAGAGTTTAAAGTGCTTGGAATTCATTATAATCTATTAATTGTTACTTGTCATTGTAGTACTGCACAAATTTGGTGGTAGTAGATGAAGATGATTCGAGCTCACTCGAGAAAATCCAAATTATTTTTTGGCATAAATTAATGAAACACGTGAAGTTTGCCTTCTTTTCTTTACAATTATGAATGTGAATTATTTAAATGCTTCAAATTTTATGATGATGTGTTATTGATGATATGCGATTAATTTTTATAAATTTCATAATCAGTATAGATTAGAACAAAATGTCAACTCAAAATCTCATTATAATGTATTAGAGCCTCAGCATCCAGAAACGTCCAAAGCAAGAAAGGACGACTCTTAAAATGGTTTACAAATCTTGTGACACGTGTAATATTTCTATTTGTTATACTTGTAAATGAAAGTCTATATATATGGTGATGTGGTGTAATGATTCGGTGAGATAGAAATGAATTATTTTGAGATTTTCTTCACTGTTTTCAAGACTTCCTGTTAGCTTTACCGCTTGAACAGGTCATCATGGTATCAGAGAGGTACACTTCGTGTACCTAGTTTTCCTTTTTTGTTTCTTGACTTGTCTTCTTCGTTCTTCCCGTCCCTTCTTTGCTAAGTGCGTCTCCTTTCCTCTCGTTTTCATGGCTTCGCACTCTTCAACATCTACCACGGTGATCTCGGTTGTTTCCTCTAACTCTGTCATCACCCCTCAACTCAAATTCTTGATTAGCAATATCAAGAATCTCATTCCCTCTCATCTCACCGCCGATAACTTTCCGCTCTGGAAATCCCAGGTGGAAAAAGTCTTCACCGCTAATGATTTCAAAGGATTCTTGGATGGCACGATTGTCGTGTCTACTTCCTCGGAAGATCTCTCCACTTCCGATTCGATCTACTCGGAGGCAAGTTTCCGTCTCACCGATCAACATCTTGCGTCCGCACTTTGCTCAATCATTTCTCCGACAATTTTACCCTATGTGTTATCTTTAATACATTGTTCTGATATCTGGAATACTTTAAATCTCCGTCTCCAATCCAACACCCGATCTCGGGTCATTCAGCTCAAAAATGACCTACATCATCTCAAGAAGGGAGATAAAACCATGACAGCGTATCTGTTAGACATAAAAGCCAAGGTGGACGCCATTGCTGCAGCTGGAAGTCATATAGATCCGGAAGATGTCCTTCTCTATACGCTGAATGGGCTTCCAGCAACCTACCAGTCATTCAAGACAGCCATACGAACTAATCTTCAACCCATTGTCTTGGATGATCTTTACAGCTTACTGTGCACAGAAGAGCAGAATGTTCTTCAAGAACTCACTCAAGATCTTCAGACCACTCAACTTACCGACTCTACGATGGCGTTAGCGGCTAATCGTGGCAGAGGACAAAGCCGAAATAATAATGGTCGTGGCCGACGGGGCAGAGGATCAAGAACCTCCACTGGCCGTGGTACCAACAATCCTTATCGCAATGTTACTTGTCAAATTTGCCTCAAGGTAGGTCACTCGGCTCAACGATGCTGGTATCGCACGGATCTTAGTTACACTGCAAATGCGCCATCTTCTGCTCTGTTCGGTTCAGCGGAACAACAAAACTCAGCTGAATGGTTCCTGGATAGTGGAGCGTCTACCCACTTAACCTCCGATTCATCACAACTAAATCATGTTGAACCTTACACCGGATCCTCCCAAGTCACTATTGGTAACGGACATCAACTTCCCATACATCATACAGGTAATGGGCTGCTCCCTACGCCCACAGGTAAACTTCTACTAAAAAATATTCATCATGTTCCAAATCTGTCTTTTAATCTGTTATCCATATTTCAACTTACTCGTGACAATAATTGCAATGTGTCATTTACTTCTAGTGGCTATCAAATCAAGGATTTGAAGACCAATCGAATACTTCTACAAGGACCATGTCATAGAGGACTATATTCGGTTCGGTCAACGAATCCTCCCATGGATCTGGCTTTGCTATCGGTACAAACCATTCCAGATTTGTGGCACTCAAGACTGGGGCATCCAGCTCATTCTATCTTACAGCATTTACCTATTTCTTTCAATAAAAGTCATATTGTTTCTTCTGTTAATTGCAATACTTGTCGTTTGGCCAAAAGCCATCAGTTAGCTTTTCCTGTTTCTGCTCATGTATCTACCAGTCCTTTTGCTTTAGTACATTCAGATGTGTGGGGTCCTTCCCCTATAAATTCGTTGTATGGTTTTCGTTATTTTGTTACGTTTATAGATGATTTTTTCAAGTTTTGTTGGGTTTTTCCACTTACTATGAAATCTAAAGTTCTACATAAGTTTATTCTATTTCATAAAATGGTTAAATGCATGTCAGTTCAACACAAATGTGCAAATCATTCGTACTGATGGAGGAGGGGAGTACATGAACAATGCGTTTCGTACATTTTTCGAGTAAATGAAAGTCTATATATATGGTGATGTGGTGTAATGATTCGGTGAGATAGAAATGAATTATTTTGAGATTTTCTTCACTGTTCTCAAGACTTCCTGTTAGCTTTACCGCTTGAACAGGTCATCATAATGGAGATCTTTATTTATAATTTTAGGGCATCCTCAACATGTTTATCCATTAATTATTGCTAAAACAAATCGATTGGCTTTACTAGTTTAATGCTAGCTAAATCATTGTCCCAATAACACCTCTAAAGAACTTATTTGAGCAAGTTCTCATTCTGTTGCACCATCCCAGCCCTCTGTACCTCTTACACATTGCTCGCTAGGTTTGTTTAACATTCCTAATCATGTGTCTGGTTTAGTTAAGTGTTATAATTATAATGCCCCATAATTTAATTGTAAAGAATTTTTTCTTTTATCTTTTAATAAATAATATCAGTGATAGCACTGATATTATTTATTAGAAATAAACAACAAAAATAATTCTAGAATTCAAAACATTTATGTGCACATATATATTCATTCATAAAAATCATATACAATACTCATGATCTATACAATTATTCCAAGTTTTCTTTTCTCTCGCCTCGCATTCTCTCTTATTTTGTCATTTTAGGTCTCTGTTAAGTCAAAGGATTAAAAGGGATTTATGGTTTATGTTAGTGGCTTAAGATATTTTGAAAAAAATTAATAATATAATTATTTAATTTAATTAATTTTAGTATAAAAATTCATATAAATCATTTTATGAATTGCTTTGCAAAAAGTACACCTGACGGTCATGAAATCCTCACTTGTACTGACATGTGTCAATTTCTTAAGAATTTTCACTCTTGCCCAAAAATTACGAAAAACTTATTATAATTAAAACACTACAATATCAATGTTATGATGAAGACAGTTTTCAAATTTGACTTATAATAACTTTAGAAAAAAATTTATTTGAAATAAGGGCTATTACAACAGTTATGGGTAGTATGGGAAATTTTTTGCCAAGTATTCAAAACCCAAATTGCATAGTTTACTTGTCTCTAAAAACAAAACTACGTGCCCTCACCTTCCATCTTAATAGGTTTTAGCTTCATTATTTATTAAGTTGTGAAAATATTTTCTTTCAACTAGCAATCCAAAAATTGGCTTCTCCATAAAAGAATATCACAACCTATATAAATTGGTTTGTCTCAACCTAAGTATTGGCTGCACTATGCCTTAACTTAATGTAGTTTTTCTTTTCATTAGGCTTCATTCTCAGGATTTTATAATCTAAATAAGCTTTCTTCTCCAAAGCTTTAGGGTACGTAGCTTCAATAACTGTGCCTTCTTATTTTTTGTTAAATGATGGCTTCTTATTTACAAACATACAATCCTACATTTTTGATTGTAGCCTGTTTCAAAATTGTTCAAAAACTTCATAATGAAGGTCATGTTAGTAAAGACTATACATTCCATCTCGTTACTACTTTTTATTTTTGGAGCAATTATTACGTCAGGTCACCGGACACATACAAAGACCAATAATCACGCGCCATGTCACCTAAAACTCGATATTGAGCACTCGGTATTGCTCGGTATACGTCCGGATTTCTGATTTTTTGTCCGGACGCAATAATTACTCCTATTTTTGACCATCCAACGCGATAAGAAGTTCATAAAATTGTAGATTGATGTCATGCTAACCCTATCTCTAAGGTAACCAATGCAAGACTATACTAACTTCTACCTATATTCCCACCACTAGATTGATATTGGCATAGATTTTGCTTGCTCATACATGGAATTAGTGAGGAAATAATTCCATTTTGTTGATTTGGAACATTTTTCTAAAATGACACATTTCATTCCATACAAAAGTAATACTAACGCAATCATCTTTTCTATGTTATACTTTCCTTATGTATGTCATTTACACGGGCTACCAACAGCTATTTGTTTCTGATGATAATATTAGATTCCTTAATCAATCTTGGCAAAATTTATGATGACTACTTAACACTGATCTAAATTTTAGATAAACATATCACCCTAAATGAATGACTAGACCAAAATGTTTACTTGATCCTTATTAAATTATTTCACATTCTAGTGGATGAAAATTTTAAGTCATACGATCTCA